CTCTCCAGGCTAGGCAGGAGCTGCCAAGGGAGAGGAGAAAAAGGGCACTCCAGGTGAGGCAAAGACATAGAGGCAGGAATGGACACAGCGTGGGAGGACCAGCTACAAGGTTTGGGTTTGGCTGGCTTGGGAGAGGTGGGGTCTTCATGGCCAGTGAGAAGCAAACCTAGAGAATGGTTTATCTCTAGAGAATGAGTTGTCCAAGGGTGCAGGGGCTGGATCAGTTACCCAGCATGCTGCCTGCCCATCTCCACCCACCCCCACCCAATCCCTGGGGTGCTGTGTTCTCTGGGCAAAGGGCTGGAGGCATCAGGGAGGTGGCAGAGGGAGGGGGAAGCATGCAATCCCAGCTCGGGAGAGACAGCTGTGCAGGCCTCCTGCCTGCTGCAGGGGATTAACTGGCACCGCACAGTATGTTGGGGAGCACCTGGCTCCCCGGCTCTGCCCACCCCTGCACCCTTTAACTCTTTGCTGTCTGGGCTCCACACCTTCAGGCTTAGAGGTATATTCACACTTATTCTCCAGTGTCCTCAGTGTTCCATGTTGGGAACACAGAGATAAAGAAAGACTTAAGGCGGGGTCTGCCCAGCCAGAGGTATCTGTGTCATCACTGTCCCTCCTCATGCCAGCTGTGGCCCTCTGAGACCCTGACTTCTCTCCACAGCAAAGCCTTTCTCTTTCCACTGGCTTCTCCAGGGCATATGGTCAAATCACTGCCTTCTTCAAGTCCTCCCCTAACTCATGCGCTATCTCTTCTTTTCCAGCCACATTTCCTAGTGTTGTCCTCCTCACTCTCTCCACTTCCTCACAGAGACAGCACTGCCCACCAGACCCATCTTCCTGGGCACGCAGCTGGACTACATTCCCCAGCCTTTCTTGCACTGAGATGTGACCATACAAGCCAGTTCAGGCCAGTGGAACCCGAATGGAAGGGAGTGAGGCACTTTCAGTCCTGGGCCCTGCAAGCTTCCAGCACATGCTCTCCCTGCACCTCGGCTGGCTGATGCCTGAGACCATAGAGACTCTGGGAGGCCCGTACTGAAAGTGGTAGAACCTCAAGACAGAGGAGCCAGGATCCCTAAATCATTCTGGACACAAAGCTCTAGCTACCCACTTATTTTGGGTGTTTTCTTTAATAAGAGGAAGGAATAAGCTTCTATCATGTTTGAGCCTCAGAAAAGACCTGACTTGCTGTGTGTGAAAAAAATAAGTGAGGAATTTGGTCTCCTCTCCTCTACCTCCCCATGTGGGACAACCCAGAAAAGCAGGGAAGAGGGATCTGGAACTCGGAAAAGGGGTTGGAAGGGGAACAGCTCTGGTGAGGGGAGAGGAACAGGGTGTTATCAATGAAGCTGAAGTTAGACATGTAGCGTTTGACTTCTAATTTGAAGTTGTTTCTGAACCTGTCGTCTGCCTTCTCCAAGCCACCATGACAAGTGTGCAAGACTCCAAGGCCTTGTGTGGTCAGAGCCTTGGGAAAATGTAAATGAAAGGACCACACATGGGTGAGGAGGCCAGGGGGACCTGGGCCTGGGGAGGGGGCCTGTGCAGACAGTGCCTACGAGAGTGACAAGGAAAGGGTTAAGGGGTCTGTGAGCAGGATTGGCTCTCCTCACAGTAAGGGTAGTAAAATCAGCATGTCGCCTCCAATTTGCTCCGGCCTGACCTTGAACGTGAATCATTCCATCACAATGTCCTTATTGATTTCCACAGGAAGAGGATTAAGCCCAGAAAATCGGGGCGGGAACTTGAGCCTGCACCACGGAGAATGGGATGGTTCTGCAGCTCAAAACTCCTCGTGTTTGCAAATACGTCACAGGGGGTTGCAGGCTGGGCAGCCGCCCTGCTCGGCCACCGATCTCTCAGTGGCTCCGCTGGTCCCGGGCTTCTGTTTCCTCACCTGTGTGTGGCCACTGGGGTTGCCTCAAGCTTTAAGTAATGCACAGAGTGTGGGAAGAAATAGGAATGAGGGAGATGCCACAGATGTCCCTAGGCCTTCAATCTGTTCTAGTCTCTTCTGAGGATCTCCTGGGATCCAAAAAGGCTATTCTAGGACCAAAGTTGCCACTGAACCAGCTGGTGGCTCACCAGCCAGGAAGGACCTTCCTCAATCCTGAAAACTGTTGAAGGGAATGAGACCTCTGTGTGTGTGTGTGTGTGTTGTGTGTGTTGTGTGTGTGTATTACCCACACAAATGCATAAAGGAGGGATCATTCTGTGTGAACCAACCCACAATTTCCTGTCATCATTTAACATATCCTGGAGAGCCCAGCAAGTCAGTACCCAAAAGGGTTACATAATATTTGCCAGCATGGTTGTACCAGGTTGCTTAATCCTTCCCTACTGACAGGCATTTGCATTTGTTACTAATTTTTAACACACAGGAAAATGCTGCAATAAACATCCTGGCGCATGCCTCTGTAGGAATTCTTTCTTTTGGTGCTGTTTCCTATTGCTCCTGTAACAAATTGCCACACATTTAGTGGCTTAAAACACACACGTTTATTCTCTTACAGTTGTAGAGGTCAGAAGTATGAAATCAGCTTCACTGAGCTAAAATCAAGGGGCCAGCCGGCCTGTGTTCCTTCTAGGGGCTCTAAGAGAGAATCCAGTTCCTTGATTTTCCAGCTTCCTGAGGCTGCCTGGATTTCTTGGCCAGTGGCCCCTTATGCCAACTTCAAAGTACATCACTTCAACCTCGCTTCTGTCACCCCGTCTTTTCTCTCTGACTCTGACCTGCCTGCCTCTCTTATATAAGGACCCTTGTGATTACACTGGGTCCACCTGGATGACCCAGGATAATCCTCTTATCTCAAGATCCTTAATCACATCTGCAAAGTCCCTTTTACCATGTAATGTAATATAAATATTCGCAAGATACAGGAATTAGGACGTGGACATCTATCTTTGGAGGACCACTATTCAGCCTTCCATAGCTGCCTAGAAATAGGATGACTTAGTTAAAGGAGATGTATATTTTACATTTAAATCACCATCTACAAATTGTATCTATTTGATATGAACACTCACATCAACACTGCTGGCACTGGCTTTTTGGAGGGCAGTGGACAACACTAATTAAGGTTCAAAGTCTTCACTGTTTCCTGCCTTCCCCACATTGGAAGGCAGGGTTGGAGATTTTCCTCTCCTTAATCTTTCACTAAATTGTCTTACCCTGAAAGAAAAAGTCAGTATCCCCAGGAGAGATCTAGGAGACTAGGACTGGGAATTTTGACCAAAAGTTTAGAGTGAGAAGTTGGCTTCCAGTAGGAGAAGGCAGGAGGGGTTGCCTGAGTGGGAGTGGAGGTGAGGTGGCCAGGGGGAACATCCAGGCATGCTGGGACTCCAACAGTAGGATGTGATCACCAGGAGCTATGGCCATCTGAGAGGACACAGTGGGAGTACAGCAAGAGGGCTGAGAACTGCTGCCAACTGGAGCCAAGGAGGGCCAGGTTACTGAAACTAGGTCACCAAAAATGGGTCGGATGTGGGGAACAGGCATCTGAAAGCCTGGAGCCACCCTCCCGAACTGAGACTGCAGGAAGACGTTTAGGCCAAGGCTGGCTGACTTAACCTGGTGCCCTCTGCCTCTGTCTACGCAACAGCTGATGAGGAGTGGCCTGTTCAAAAGCTGCTTTCCCATAACTGGACATAAACAGATGGGAAGGGTCATGAGGTGAGAAATGAACAGCCAGGAACACTATATAGCCAGCAATGGCTATTAAAAACTTCCTTATGTCTCAGCCAAAACATCTTGCCATATAATGGAACCAGGATTTTAAACCCAGTTCACTTTAACAGCCATGTTCTGTTTAAAGTCATGGTCTGTTGAAATCAGAGTTCAAAACTCTGAAAACTATTGATTTAGGGAGTGTGTGTAGCTAAGGAGATAACTGACTACAAGCCTTGGATCATCATCCCTTATGGAGAAATTTGGAAGCCTTGTCCCACCCATCTCTGGCTGTAATGATGAGAAATTAAGAAGTGTGATGTGTGCATTTAAGGCTATAAATGTTTCTCTAAGTACTGCTTTAGCTGCATCTCACAGGTTAATGTGTCATAATTTCAAAATTACATAGATCAAAATGTTGTCCAATTTCCATTCTGATTTCTTATTTGATCCATTGATTATTTAGTAATGTGCTGCTTACAAAGCCATAAAGCTTCATTAGGAAAATTCATTTTCATTAGGAAAAGACTCAGGGTCCATGTTAGCAGACAGATGCACCATAAGAAGAGCTTACTTATGAAATAAAAGCCAAGCCTTCAAAGTGTTCGTTCAAAAAAAGATGTTCTACCCTCTCTAGGCAGGGTGAAGCTCTTGCACTGTAAGCACTGACTCTTCTACAAGTTTTTTCTATTATTGAGGGGTGCTTTCCTAGCCCCCTCCTTCTCCTTTCCACATGGAACAACCCAGGAAAGCACCCTCCCATTTTCTCCTTAGGTGTCCCAATGGTCCTTCACAGGTGAAGTATCACTGAGAGCCTGTCCCTGGGTGCTCCTTAATCCTACCACAGCTGACATGGCTGCAAAAACGTACTGAGCTCATTGGGAGAACAACAAGGAAAGAAATACAGAAATGTTAAGAGGCCAATATGAAACCTACTCTCTGGGTCTGCCTCATCCACATCTCCTGTGAGAAGCATCTGTCTCTGGGCCCACAGAACCACGATCACTCCTCAGTCCCTCGCCTGGGTGCCAGCTCCCCAGCTCCCAATGTCCTCATCTTTCTCCTCATTCCCTTCCTCTAGAAGCCAGTCTCCAGTCCATTCAATTCCAAGCAGCAAACACCCACCAATGGTTCTGCTGTGAGTGGGGCATGGTGCTGGGATGGATGGGGCAGAAGTGGTGCTGATGTCCAGGGCCATAAAATAGAGTCGTCTCTTCGCAGTGGATACTCCTTCAAGTTCAAAGTAAACCTGGCTCCCTCAGAGATTCTCAGAAGCCTGAAGTCTTCCTGTGGTTTATTGATACATAAACAGAACACAAATATGCGCACAAAGAGGCTTGGAAACAGCAGGGGGCCATCCTGGCACAGCCTCCTCACCTCAAGGGGCGTCCAGCCACATCTTCAGACACACAGGGCAGTGCTGGGGCCTGTACAACGTCACGTTCATGCTCTTGGGATCCACATGGCACAAAGTGGCACAGGGGTGGGAGACTTGCAGAGTGGGGTGTGGAAAGGGGCTCTGGCCCTGCTTTAGGGGACACTCTGGTTCAGTGACAAGGCTCTCACAAGTGCTCAGGGAGGCTGGGGCTGTGTTTTCCACTGACACCAACAGACACTCTCTTGCTAAACAGTCCCATGGAGCACAGAGGCTGGCATGGGCTGAGCCACAAAACCCATAATCAGGCTCCTCTGAGCCCGACTCTGTCATGGCCTTGGAGAAAAGGTGCACTGCAAAGCCTGGAGCTGCATTTGCAGGCTAAAGGTACCCCCTCAGCAACCTAGGGTCTCAGAGGCATGGGCCGTCAACCAGCATCCTAAATAAGCAGTGCTGGACCCTCGCTGAGGGTTTCACTCCCCCACCACCACCTCACAAGGCTGGCCTGCCTGCTGGGAAGGTTGCCTTGGGGTAAGGGTACAGGCTTGGGTCTTCCAAATCCTTTCCTGAATTACCATCTCAATACCAGGACACCAGGCACCTTTCTTTGGACTACAGGGGACATGAAGGTCACTGAGCTCACTCTGACTTCACAGATCTTGGTGAGACAACCTGGGCCCTGGAATCCACCATCTTTGCTTTTGGGAACTCCTTCTGGGCAGCTATCTGTAAGCCTGAGTGTTGCAGGTATAACCCTCTTTCCTTTTACTGTGTCTGGTTTCTTCTGTAGTCAAAAAGGCCAAGAGAATGGGCCACTGCATCCTGCCCCTGTGCTTGGTCTTGGGTCCAGCTGTGGTTCCCATGTGAGCACCATGCACCATCCCACCTTCCCACAGCTCTCACCACCCCCCACCAAGAGCTGTGGCCAGGGTCACGGAGGTTCAGAGGGTGCTGCTCCTGGACCTAAAGCCCATTTTCCATCTCAAGCCAGGGACAAAGGTGAGCTCCCTGAGCCCTCAGCTATGGCACTTTCCCACATGTGGAAAATGGGGAGCCCAGAAAGGGAGCCAGGATGGGAAGGGGTGACCCTTTCTGGTTACTCCTGTGACCTCTTCCCACCATTCCATGCTCAGCACGTGCCAGATTTCTACCACCTTTAATACCCCCATTCACATTGGGCCAGCTGGAAACACGAAGTGGGGCCGGCAGAGGTGGTCCAGCTAGCCCAGGCCCCCAGGCCTCAGGACCACTGGCAGGCACAGTCGGTGGGCTCCTGCACGGTGTAGGGCACCCAGGTGGCATTGGTGGCACAGAAGAGCTGCACAGAGCGCCGCTGCAGGCCCACCTCGCGGCAGCACTTGCAGAAGCGGGCATAGGTGTTGATGTTGTAGTTGTAGATGCTGGCGGATGGGCACCTCCCATCACAGGACACTAGGTTCACCTGGAATGGGCAGGCCAGTGAGGTAGTCTGTGGCGCTCACACCCCCAAATCCCCTCCATCCCCATCTTTTGCTGCCCCACTGCCTTGTGGGCACCACGCACAGGGGTGTGGCTCCTGCATTCGTTCTTGCGGATGGTCATGCGGATGGTCACCTTCTTGCAGGAGCGCCCATCCTCCTTACCTGGGGGGACAAGGGGATAAGGGAGCTGTGGCCAAGACCAGGCTTCTTAGGGGCAGTAGGATGGGCCAGCCCCAGGCAGTTAGTGTCATGCTGGAGGGTCTCTCTTCCGGCGTTAGCACCCATGCATTAGTACCCCTCCCCTTCCAGGGAAAGCCTTTTAACCCAATGCCCTGGAAGGAGGCAGAGTTAGGAAGGCACAGACAGAGCAGTGTGAGCAGGTGAGGCAGGAAGGCCAGCAGGGCCCCCTTGAGGACTCTGTGCTAGGGCAGAGGAGCATCTGGGGACAAGTGAGGTATATATTTTTATACTTGTTATTCTGTATCTCCCACTAAATGTCAGCTCCACAAGGCTCTACAGTGCCTAGAACAGTGCCTGGCACATAGTTGGAGCTCCACTAATATTTGCCAGGTACATGCACTCACTCTGTAACCCCAGGAATCCCTCTAGAAATGGAATGGAATCTTTTCTTCTGATCTCTGAGCCTCACCACAGAGGTTTCCTACTACACCAGCTAGATGGCTTCTGGCCAGAGCTAAGTCCACTTTGTCTTCCCTCTCTGCTCCAGGAGGCAGGAGAACTAAGGGCTGTCCTGACATGGCCCTCTGGGTCCTGGACTGAGACTGGCTGAGTGACCAGCAAGAGCAAAGCAGTGGCGGTCTGGGGTGTTGGTGGGCGCCAGGTGAGCGGGCCCTGCTGAAGCTTTCCCATGCAAGCCCAGCTAATACAGCTCACTACCCAGCATGCACTGCAGGCCCAATGGCCTGTGCCAGAGGTGGGGAGCAGGGGCCCTCCCCCTCCCTTGCCCCCAGAGCTCGGGCCACCTAGCAGAAGGGACATTGCTGGACATAGCAACGCGGCTGCCTGCCTCCAGTCCGGTGGGCTTCCGAGAGGAGTACCTGAGCGACAGTGGACACTAACCCGTGGAGGAGAGGCGGGACTAACGGGGACCACGGGAAACAGGGTCCCCGGGGAACCTGGGGAGAGGGACATGGGGTGCAGGTCACATGGGGGCACACGGGACATTCAGGAAACATGAGTTTGTGGGTCAGGGATCAGCCGATGAGGCCCCAAGTCCAACTTTCTTGGAGTATATGAAATGCACATAGCAGGGCCCCAAGTTCTACTGCCTTCTGGAGATGGGGTCTGAGCACCCTAGGAGGAGGGCAGGCACAGGGGAAAGATATGGGTGGGGGATTGAAGGTGGTGCAAAGCAGAGGCTGACTGGGATGTGTATATGCACATGGTTGGGGGCTACAGTTCTGGGTGGCCAGGGCTCCAGGAGCCAGGTATCAGGACAGGTGCACAGAGCTCACACTCAGACTGTCAGGGACACTGGAAGGTCTGAATCCCACCCAGGAGGCTCCTCCAAGACCAGGGCGTCTGACCACAGGAGAATTCATGTGGGAGCATCTGGGCTGGGAGCCTTGGCAGGGGCAGGAGAAGGCAAAGTAACTGGTGAACTACTGACCTCCTGAATGCTATGCCCCAATGTCCTCTGGCTCTGACAAGGAGCAGAGGCTTTGTATGAGAACAAGGACACAAACACGGTCTCCAGCCTTCTGCATATTTGCACTAGTGCCATGAGCCCCATGGTGGGGATGTTATCCCTTCATCTACTCAGCCCAGAAGAGCTATCATTTTAGGTGCCAGGCCTCTGTCCCCTGACATGACACCCTGTGCCCCCATCAAAGCCCCCCACCCCTGGGCCCCCACCATGCTCACTCACAGGTCCTGCAGCATCCTTCCAAGGAAGGTACCACGGAGCCCCCAACCTAGAGAGAGGAAGTCGGGAGAGGTAGGTGTGGAGACCCCTGTCCAGGCCAGGAGCCAAGATCCCAGAAATAGGCAGAGTACAGGAGTCTCGACTCTTCTCTCCCTGTGATGCCCCAGGGCAGGAGCATAGGCCCCTTGCCAGGCCATGGGAGAGCCACAGGGGCTAAGTTGGCTCTAAGGCTGCACGTGGCCCCCTTGGGGCAGGAGCCTGGGTCAAGATGGTGCAGGGCCTCCCATCTTTCCTGGGGCAGCTCCCCTCATGCCTTCCACTGCCTACCCCACTGCCAGTGCTTCCCAGCACAAAGGGTCAGGGAGAGGAGGGGTGCAGGGGTCACCCACTTGGGTCAGTGGCCTGGGCTCTACCTCAGCCCTGGACAACATCCTTTTCCTCTAGGCTTAGTTTTCCCATCTCTAAAATGGGGGCAAGTATCCCTTAAAGCCCTCCTCCTCTATAGTGAAATGGGTAAAACAACGGATGGGACAGTTCTTTCTACATAAGTGTGTGTTGGGGGGCAGGTCTCAGTATGTGTGTGCGATTTTGTGAGCATATACATGAGTATCTGTGTGTACATGTGTGATTTTGCACGTGTGGGTGTGTGTATGAGAGTATCATTGAATGTCTGTGTATATTTGTTTTCTAGAGAAGAGTCAGAAATCTTCAAATGTCCACTGTTAATCTTAGGGACTTTAATAATTCAACAATAACCCCAAGCCTTCCAGGAAATCCTTTTCTCTGAGGTGCGCCCATACTGACAGCTGCCCATGCTAGTGCTGGACACCCACCAGCCATCAGAGGACTGAACTGCATCTGCGTGGCATGTGTGTGCAAGAGTGTGCTTATATGAGTGCTTTGAGGTGTGATGATGCGTGGTGTGTGCATTGGCATGCCGATGTGAATGTCCCTGGAGGGTGTGGTGTGTGAGTGGCTGGTGGCCTGTGTTGGTGTCTGGCTGAATGTGCCTAGAACATGTAACAGTGTGTGTTTGTGCACACCTGCATGTGGTCACGTGACGTGTGAAGAGGCAGGGTGTGATGTGGTCAGGGCAAAAAGAAATGCAGAGAGAGATGTGGATTTGGGGTGGCAGTGCAGGCATAGGCTCCAGGGAGCCCTTCCTCCTGCACTCCTGCTCACAGGACCCCCACCCCACTGCCAGCGAGACAGCTGATGCCCCTGGCCTACAGCCTCAGTGGAGAAGGAGGCACTGACCTTGGCACACTCGGTCTCATTGAGCGGTGGGCAACTGATGGGAGAGCGGACGAGCACGGCACCCAGGGGAGTGCTGCTGCAGTGGTGGCGAGTGCAGTCTGCAATCCAGGATGCCCCAGGCTGGAGGGCACAGAAGTGGGTGATGGGGACTGTGGCCAGATGGACAGCCTGAGCAAACCCATAGGGTCTGGAAGTCTGTTTGTACCCAGCCCTGGCCTGGGAGCCAGAGAGGGCCCTAGTCCTGGTGTCCCCTCCTGGGACACCCTCCTAGGTGGGCAGCGAGGGGGCTGCTTACCAAGAACAGGGAGGTGGTGCCATTGGGGAAGGTGAAGAGACAGGACACATTCCTGCAGGAGCCACAGCAGGCAGCGAGGTCCCGCGGGTGCTGGTACTCCTGGTTCTACAGGCCAAGGCGGGGTGCGCCTCAGCCAGTTGCCCACCTCCACCCTGGCTCTCCCACTGCCTGCTTATCTATGAGGGACCCCAGAGTCCGGAAGGGTCCTTTGTAGGTACTCGGGAAGAGGAGCTCCCAGCCTCCTTCTGTCACAGTCAGCTAATCATCCCTGTATCTACCCTGAGCCTCCCTTACAGCAAAGGGCATCTCCACCCTTTCCAAGACATTTCTGCTAAGTAGGATGCCAGTTTTCATTCCAGACAGACCTCCATTTGAGTCTCAGTTCCTGTAGGACTTTTGACAAATGACAGAGTCTCCCTAAGTCTCAGTTGTCTCCTCTGAAAAATGGGAATAATTCTAACCCCCTTTATCCAACTAATATTTATTAGCCCTTACTAGAAGCCAGTCACCATCCTAACTACTGGGCATGAAGAAGTGCTCACCAAATAGTAGCAATACAAGCATGCAAACCAAAGGGACAGGGAATGTGCCAGGCATTCCATAGGTACCTAATAAGTGTGTGCTCTCTCTGTCAACACCCACCCTTGCCAGGCACTAAATCTGTCCCTTACTGTCCTCCTCCTGGCCTCTCGCAACCCAGTCCCTTTCTTGGCACTTTCTACAGAGGTCTCTGAGGGCACCTCTGACTTGTCTTGGAGGCTTAGGGCAGCTTCAAGGGCCCCTCTGATTCCTGGAGCACACAGGGTCTGCCAGGCTAGCTCTCCTGACACCACCCACCCCACCCTGGGCGACACCCTACCGCCTCGCAGTGGATGTCACACAGCACGGAAGTGGTGTTGATCTGGTAGAAGCTGGTGAGAGGGTCGAGCACGGCGGTGCAGCGGGAGGTGTGGCACACGCCATCTGCTGAAAGCTCCACCACCGTCTGGCCAGGTTGCATCACGCCCAGCTCATGGCTCAGACACACTGGGGCCTTCACTGGATAGGCATGCAGGGTGGCAACGGTCATCTAGAGCCCAGGCACCCATGCCCCCCCTGCCTGGCTCTGCCCCGAGGCTTCCCCCACTCACCACACTCGTACTTGGCGCAGCCACACACATTGTCCACGCTGTGCATGAACTCCTCGTCCAGCTGGGATTTCTCCCACTGGGTGGGGCAGAGGCAGTCAGCACCCTGGGGTGGGGGCCAGCCTGGCCCTCAGGAGCAGTCTGCCACCTGGGCCCCTCTCTATGTCAGTCCCTCCCTGTGGTGGGCAGGAGGGGGCTGGCAGGCCTGGGGCCCCACAGCATCCTGGAAGCTCAGTCCCAGTGTGACTCCCAGGCCTCCCCGATGAGGAGCACTGTCCAGTGTCCTCCCCTTTCTCAGTGAGGGACAGAGCCCTGGGTGGCTCACAGTACTTCTCACCTTTCTTCAGCAATTTTAAGGAAGGTGGAATGGGGGTCAGAGTGAGAGGAAATGTGTGCTGGGGTGTGAGGGTTACATATAATTCAGAAAAGGACTCTAAACATGACTTCACATTTCTTAAAGTATTTTCACTTCCCTCAGTGGCCATGCAGCCTGGTGGCTAAGGACATTGTCTCTGGAGACAGATTTCCTGGGTGTCAGCTCTGGCTCTGTGATATACTAGCTTCATGACCTTAACCTTAGCTTCCTTGTTTGTAGGATTGAGAAAACAACAGAATCAACCTCACAGGGTTGTTGTGACAATAAATAATACACATGAAAGGCCTAGGAAAGTTCCTGGCACTTAGTAAGCTCTTAATAAACATTAGCTACCATCATGACTGTCATCATCATCATCATCGCCATTATCATCTTCACCATCATCATCCTCACCATCCCCACCACCACCATCGTCATTGCATTATCATCACCACCACCATCGTCATTCATTATCACCATCACCATCACTCTCACCGTCCTCACCACCACTGTCACCATTGCACTATCACCATCACCACCACCGTCATCATCATGGCATTACCACCATCACCACCACCATCATCCTCACCACCACCACCACCATCACCATTGCATTATCACCACCACCACCATCACTACCGCAACCACCATCATCCTCACCATCCCCCCCACCACCATCACCATTGCATCCACCATCACCACCACCATCATCCTCACCACCACCACCACCATCACCATTGCATTATCACCACCACCACCATCACTACCGCAACCACCATCATCCTCACCATCCCCCCCACCACCATCACCATTGCATTATCACCACCACCACCACCACTACCACAACCACCATCATCCTCACCATCCCCACCACCACCATCGACATTGCATTATCACCACCACCACCCTCATCCTCGCCAACCCCATCACCACCACCATCACTGCATTATCACCATTGTCACCACCACCACCATCATCACTGTCCCCACCACCACCCCCACCATCATCCTCATCATCACCACCATCATTGTCATTGAATTATCACCATTGTCACCACCACCACTATCCTCACCATCCCCAACACCACTATTGTCATAGCATTATCACCATCATCACCATCACCACCATCCTCACCAACCCAACACCACCATCATCATTGCATTGTCGCCATCATCACTGCACTATCACCATCATAGCCACCACCATCCTCCTCACTGTCCCCGCCATCATTGCCACCATCAGCATCATCACTATCATCTTCATGATAATTTTCATCATCATTGTAGTGAATCCTTACCACAACTCTAAAGCATGATTATGTCCATTTTACAAAGGAGGGCACCATACCCAGAAAACCAGTGGCAGAGCTTGGGAAAAGAATGCTAACTTGCAACCATGGGTTCCTTGCACTAGATTAAAGGAGCAGGTTCTCTAGAGGAGGGGATACAGAGGAAAGGAAAGGGGAGCAGACCAGGGGGTGTTGGGGGAAAAGGGTCTCCATACCAGATGGCACCGGGGCACCGGGATTGTGTCACAGTCACACTCTGAAAAACACAAGGGGCCAGGCCCCACTTCATTAGGGATGTTCAAGTAGAAATCCCCTGGGTACCCTGGACCTCTCACTGCTGGCACAACCCGTCTTCTGAAGACCCAGCTTCAGGCCAGGCTTGGGAGAGAAGAGAAAGAGGCCCAAATCTCAGCTTCCTTCCATCCCTGGGGGCAGGAGGAGGCCTGCAGCTCCGCTGGTTAGGCAGGTGGGCAGTGATGGATTCTGAACACCAAGCTCTCCACTGGGTGTGGAGCAAGGATAAATAGGCAGATGGGCCAATCACAGGTTTCCTTTTGTCACCTGGATTAATCCCTCCACCTGGTCCAGAGCCTATTCTTTTATTTTATTTTATTTTATTTTATTTTATTTTTATTTTTATTTCAGATGGAGTTTCACTCTGTCGCCCAGGCTGGAGTGCAGTGGCGCTATCTTGGCTTATTGCAACCTCCACCTCCTTACAGGCACCTGCCCAGCTGATTTTTTTTTGTATTTTCAGTAGAGACAGGGTTTCACTATCTTGGCCAAGCTAGTCTTGAACTCCTGACCTCATGATCCACCTGCCTGGGCCTCTCAAAGTGCTGGGATTACAGGTGTGAGCCAACGCGCCCTGCTGCAGTAAGGACTTTTTAAGATGGAAACCCTCTTTGGAATGAGAAACTTGGTTTTTCCTTCTTTTACCCTGGAGAGAAAAGGCTATAGGAACGTTCAGCACTTGGAGTGTGGATGCAGGAGGAAGCTGATTCTTGTGGCTTCCTCTAGAGACCCTGCAGGGGACGGATCTGAGAGGAGTGGACAGTGGTGGGCCAGGCTCCCCCAACCCCTCCTCAGCAGGGCCACTGGATCTCCCAGTGGGGAGGCTGTCCTGGCCACGGACTCACCACAGGATTTGTAGGGGCAGCAGCGGTCAGGGCTCCACACCTCCACCAGGGCAGTGCCCGGGCCACACTGCACTTGGGGACAGCGGAAGCTCTCACACACTGTGGGGGAGGAGAGGCAGGCAACATATCAGTCACAGGCACCTGGGGGTGTGAATCCTAAGAAGGGCAACACTGGCTAAGGAGGGGCTACCCCCAGCTCCTCCTTAGTGACCCCCACTGTCCTCGGAGCCCCAGGGAAGAGTCTGGGCACCCAAAGTCTCCCCAGGGAGCTACTTCAGGTCATGGTGCTGTGCCTGTGAGGCACTGGTGACATGACAGGGTCAGAACCTCAAGCTCATTAAATTGGGCCTCCCCAGTCTGCAGTCACCCTGCAAGAGGTGGTCCAAGGAAAGCCAGCCACTAGGGTAAGGTCTGCTGACAGGGAACATCCCGCTCTGTCTAACACAACCTTTCCCACCCTGTGGAAACTTCATCCACTTGGGGCCCGCCTGAGCCTGCCCTGCTTCAGCTGCTACTACCCTGCAGGCCCCACACTTCCTTTCTTCCTTGTCTTCAGGCTGACTTTTCTCAGTTCAGGATTCCTCAGCCATTCTCATTTGCTGAGAGAACAAGGCAAGGGGTGAGGGAACTCCCTGGGTGCAACACTCTGGTGGATAGGGGAGGGGCAAAGGTCAGCACGGAAGGTGAGGATCTGAAAACTCTAAGAGCTACTTGATTTACTAATAAAGTTATTGTCACAATCAAGGATTATCAAATGATGTTTCAAAAAATTATGAGGAAGGGCATTTTTATGGTGTCAAAGGAATAGGTTATTTTCTGGTTGGAAGAGGAAAAATGTAAGATGGAGAGATCTTAGGATTACAGTATCACCCTAATCTGGGCCAATGTTAACATCGATTCTAGTGGCTCAGCCAGATAGTGTGTGGCACCCGATGTGATGTGCTATGAAGCTTATGCATGTACTGTCCAGCCCCAAATTTTTAACTTGAACCCATCAAGCCTTAGATGGAAATTTCAGTTTTAGGAAGCACAGAGGCCCAGGGAACAAGGAAAGCAGCTCCAAAAGAAAGCAACTGGCGAAGTCCAGAAGTGGGGACTCTGCAGGGTCATGGCCTGGACTCTACAGTGGGAGGTCACACAGGAAAAGGGACCTGTGCTAGGTTAAGAGAGATGTGAGGCATGTCATTATAATGCATTGTCCGGGACTGAATCCTGGATTGGACAAACAGGAAGAAACACGGACTGGGCATGAGACAAGTTGAAAACATATTAACGTGGAAAGGTAGAGATTGTTCACTGAAAACAGCCAGTTAAAAAAAGAGTATGTCCAGGATGAGATGATTTTGGTAAACCACATCTACATAAAGCCATAGAGAGAATCTGGAAGGATATGTATCCATTAAAGCATTGGCAGTGGAATTATCTAGCAGGTAGGAAGGTGGTATTTCATTTTCTTGCATTTAGTTGGAATTTGTACTTTCTACAAGGCATATACAGTGCTTTTGTAACAGTAAAAGTATGACGAAGACTGGGAGAAAGTGATAATATCAACAGCCTCTGTTTTTGAGCACCTACTGCATACCAAGGACCATTATGTCCTTCACATAAATTATCTCTAATTTCCACAACAGCCCCTCAAGGCAGATACTAGCATCACCATTTTACAAATGAGCAACCTTGGCTCAGAGAGTAAGGCACTTGCCCTGGGCCGCACAGCTGGTAGACAGCCTAACTGAGGTTCGGAAACCAACTGACTATGCCCATACTCCATCCACAGGACTAGGCTGCCTCCCGAGAAACATGGGAAGAAACGTGAAGAGAAGGAGAAAAGATAGTGAATCTCTCCTCACATCAGTCTGGCAAATACCGTGGCAAGTGGGCCAACTAGCTCCTGGTCAGGTGCAGCCAGGTAATCTGGGTAACTCTCAGGGGATGGGAGCCTACATTGTTTCGGAGGTGGCTCTTGACATTGAACCAATCAGGGCGGCCCTTGGGTGTCCTGGTGGAGGCCCCTCTCCTACTCTGTGTAAGAAAAAACCTCATGCTTCTCCTATTATCAGTGTGCAAAGCAATTTTTGTAAATTGCATAAAATTTAAATCGAACCATTTTGTTCATTTTCATCCATTAGATTTACTTACAGTCCATAATGCTGGCTGCACTATGCTTAACAGTTACTACTGAGGTACTATGTACATAGTGCATTCTATATCAAGGTACTATGAACACAACACATGATATGCACATACTACCCATGTCTACATGTATGTATAGTATCATATATACAGGTACCAGGCCCTAGAAAAATACTGGGAAAAGTATACTTTTATTTGTCATTACAAAATAACAGAGCTTCAGAGGCTTTGCAACACGGGGCCTTCTGTGATACAGCCTCCAGGAGCAGGCACTATGGTGACACAGTGGCGAAAGGGACCCTGAAGGGGGGCCTTGGGTGAGTCAGGGAATGAAGACTTCTTATCAGTGCTGTGGGGGGTGAAGGGACCCAAGTATTTGCCTTCAACCCAAGCCTCTGTCTGGTCCTTGGGGGCCTCCATGGAGGGGACAGACCTGGACCTCCCACCCTCCAGCCTGACAGTGTGACCTGGCTTCTTCAGGTGGGCCTGCACTCATCCTGGCTTCAGCTGCTCAGCCCTCCACAGCTCACCACCTGGGAGCACTCTGTTGCTCCCTGTCAACCCCCATTAGTCCCAGGGTGGGGACTCTGTGAAGGGTCCTTCCCACTACAGCCAGCCATGTGCCCAGCCAGGACTCACCACACTGGTACAGAGGGCAGCAGAGCTCTGTGGTGTTCCTGTGCACGGTGAGCGCCTCCCCTTCTTGACATTCGGGGATGGGGTCTGGACAGTCGCCACAGGCTGAGGGGGAAGAGGGTCAATGCTGTCACAGCAGTCCCCTCATAGGAGCTTGGCACACAGCACGCTGCTGGGGGTGGGAGTTCCTCAACAACCCAGGTGTGGTAGGAGCTAATGGCAGCATCACATGGTCTCATGTGACTCATTCTGGAATCAGAATCTGGAAGTTCTCATGTCCACCCAAACATTTACACGGAACAAGCACCTGTTTCCTCTTGCTCAGTAATCTAGGGGGAACACAGGGTCAGTGTTCTCTTCCTCCCACCCTGTTTCCTGGACAGTGAGCTTGTCCTTCTCCCTTCTCCCACCCCATCTGAAGACCCCCAGCCTTTCCTGCCAGCTGCCCAAGGACACAAGGGTGAGGCTAGCAAACTGTGATCCGGCTGTGTGCGCTGGCGTCTAGTGGCGGCGACCCACCGCAGAAGTAGGAGGTGCAGCAGGAGTCCCCCAGGCGGCCAACGATCAGGGTCTGGTCCTGTCGGCAGCTGGGGACAAGCTCTGCCTCACAGAGATCTGGGTCACACTCTGGGGGAAAGGCCGGATTTAGGTGCTGGGAGAGGAACCTGCCTGGCCACACCTGAGCCCCTGCTCCCAGAGCTGTCCTCCCCACACTGCCCTCAGTCCGTCCCCCACCTTCCCCGCCCCAGGCCTCTCACCACAGCTGTAGCTGGGGCAGCAGGAGTCCTCCTGGAAGTGGGTGAGGAGGCGGTGGCCTGGGTGGCAGGTAGGGGCGAGGCCCTCACACAGGGTCTGGTTACACACTGGCCCCGGGGACCACAGGGCCTGTCACCTCGGGGCCGGATGTCCCTACTGCTCTCCAGTGGAGAGCACTGGACAACTGCCCAAACCCTGGACGCCTGGCCCACTCCTCCCCCACTGCTCCTCCCAGCCCCCAGGACCCACACTCCTAGATGAGGCCTTTGAGGGTCACACGAGGGTTCAGGGCTGGGACAGAAGACTAGCAAGAGCTAATATCCATTGACACGTGCCCCATCTCACAGCAACCCCAAAGATGGGCCCGATCATCAGCTCATGTTCCGGGAGAATGAAAGAAGGCCCAGAGGATGTGAAATGATTTGCCTGAGGCCACAAGGCTACAGGTGGGGAAGGAAGAGTGGCCAGGCTGCCTGGCTCCACAGCACTCCCTGCACTGACTCCTGCGCCTCTGCCCCTGCCCCCAGGCAGGGCTCTCCCCTCCTCCCAGCTCACCCCCTACAAGACATTTTGCTTTTCCTAGGCCTTGTCCTATCTATCAGGGTTGGTGTGCAGGGCTGATGGATAGCTGTTTTACAGCTGTTTTAACTGTTTTACAGTTGAGATCCAAGGAAGTAAAGGCGGACACTCACCACAGACAGTCCTCAGGCAGCAGGGGTCCTTGGTAGGCAGGAGCAAGGCCACCTCCCCAAATCGCGGGCAGCTCTCAGGGCGGGGATCAGGGCAGCCCAGATCCACCGGGATGATGGTGTCTGGGGCTTGGCACTGGTGCTGGCAGCAGCCGCTGAGGGAGCTGTTCCAGGTCTCCCCCAGGGCCCTCGGCACCCCCATGCTGTCAGTGCAGGCTGCAGAGGGGAATGGAAGGGTGCGAGGTGAGGAAGGTGAGCCCAGACCTTCCCAGGCTAGACTCTCCCTGGGATACTGACCACCCCTAAGCAGACCTGAAAGGATGCAGATGGGCCTCAGCTATGGGTAACAGGAGGTGAGACCAAGGCTGGCTTTGGAGGCCCCTGCTCAGGGAGGGGAGGAACCTACCACACTTGGCCTCTGGGATGCAGAGGGCAGAGTGGCGCCGGTGCAAGATGGTGCCCTCAGAGCAGACGCAGCCCTCGCCCAGCACCTGGCAGCGCTCTGGGTCCAGAGGCCCTAGTATCCCATCCTGGCATGTCTTGGGTGGCTCACAGGCCGTCACACATGCCTGGTATGTGGAGTCGCTGGAGCACAGGAAGGCTGCAGGGGCACAGTGGGCACCAGGCCTACCTCAGACCCCAGGCAGGGCTCCCCACTGAGGGCCGAAAGAACAGGAGGGGATGAGGAGGGGGCTCAGAGTGTCATCAGCACCTCAGCAGAGTACATAAGTCAAAGGGCTTGGTGACATCACCTCCTTCCTTAGATCAGGACTCAGCAAAGTACAGCCCACAGCCTAAACCCAGCCCACTGTCTGTTTTCACAAATAAAGTTTTATTGGAACACAGCCATGCCTGTTCATTTATATTCTTTCTAAGGCTGTTTTTGTACTAAAAAGGTAGAGTTGAGGACTTATGACTGAGACCATATGGCACACAAGGCATCAAATACTTACTTTCTGGCTCTTTACAGAAAAGGTTTGCCAATCTCTTGCTCTAGATCAGTGTTTTCAAACTTTCTTGATTGTAAAAAGTAGATTTTACATTGTGGCCCAATACACACAAGCATGTAGAACAGTGGTCCTCAAACTCGACTACAAGAGAATCCCTAGGGAGTTTTTGAGGTATCATTGTGGGGACCCCACCCCAGGCCAATTGAATCTCTGATTGTGAGGCCCATGCCTTTTCAAGTTCCCTGAGTGATTTCAAAGGGCATTTAGGATTGAAAATCGCTTCTATATAAAATAAAAAATCTCTTTTACAAAATAATACTAAACTTTCTATGAGCAATACACACTGGTATTTTCTATTCTATTATATTGTATTTTTTAAAATGCTGGTGCTGACCCTCTAAATTGATTTCATACCCGCTGAGTTGGGATCCACACTTTGAAGAACACAACCCAAGAGGACTTTTGTCTTTTCCTCTTTTACCTGTCATATTGCGGGTGTGACCTTCCTGTGAGCCAATCCCAGCCTTCCTGGATGTGTTTACATTTATAAATCAAGCTACTCTAGCCCAGGCCACCCCAGTGGACCCCACCAGTCAAACCTAATTGGGGGAGGAGGAGGCAGATCTCATTTCCTTCCTGCAGGAAGGAGGGGAAAGACTGGAAGAAGAGAAAGGTGAGCAAAAAGGAGGCAGAGGGAACTAAGATGTGCAGGACGGTGTCCGTGGGGCAGGTCTGTGTGAGCACTTGGCACACATTCCCCCACATCCTGAAAACCACCCTGGGCGGGGGCGATGGTTACAGTCTCCACTTACAGAGAAGAGACTCAAAGAAAGCAAATACTAAAATAACAACACAATTACTATGTGTTAATATATTCATAGGACTCATAATAAATATGTGTTCATTACTATGAAATGTATTTTTATACAATATAAAAATTAAATGTAAATTAAACATATAAAATATTTATAAATTTACTAATGTACATATATCCATGAATGATTAAAGCTAGAAAGCATACATGAACTTGGGTCTGGGAGCCTTTTCCCACTTTAACAGGGGATGGGAGCAACAGTCACAATGGAGGGTCCCCCTGCCCCGCAAACTCACGGCAGTAGTCAGAGCGCCGCCATTCGATGCACACATGAAATTTGTGGCACATGGCCACGTACACAGTCAGGGCCACGCAGGGCTGCTGCACGTACTTGGTGTCCCGGATCCACAGCTCACAGAATGACTCCGGAGGCACCTGGGCATATGCATCAGGCAGTGCTGCTTACTCGGATGTCACACATCCCAGTGCCCAGCTCCTCCCCTCCCTGCCCAGAAGGAACAATGAGCCTCTGCAGGTAGGTGCTGCCATCCCCAGACAGCCCAGGAGGTGTCCCCAATGCTGGACCCAGCTGGCACATACAAAGCGGTGGCAGGCACTGAAGGTGCGGTTGGACACCATGCGAAGGCAGGGCGAGCAGTCAGTTGTGGCACAGCTGTCTGGGCGGAAGCGGGTCTGGCCCACTGCGGTCAGGGAGCTGGGCACCTGCCAGCTGTCCAGAAAGGGAGCAGGGTCCTCAGCCCCACCCACCACCGAGCCATCCTTCAGGGTGAGGTCATTGGCTGCATCTCCATCACAGATACCTGAAAGAGGCCAAACAAACCCACCAGCCACGATCATCACTACCACTCCCATGTTGTCAGCTCTCACTTTTTGTATTCCTCACAGTTCTTTGAGGTCAATAATACCATTATCCCCATTTTATAGGTGAGAGAAATTATGTGAAAGGAAACTAGGAAACCTGCTACAAAAGAAAATGTCTTTGTACTTAGGAAATACACATGTATTTAGGGGTAAAAGGATACAATGTCTTGAACTTATTTTCTAATGGTTCTGAAAAATTTGTATATATATGTATATATATGGATTGCGTGTGCATATAAAAATGTATACACACACATACAGAGAGAGAGAGAGAGAGAAGGAGAGAAGCAAATGGGGCAAAATGTGAACCCTGGTAAATCTGGGTAAAAGGTGTACACTACCTTATACTATCTTTGCAGATTCTAAATTTTTATAAGTTTTGCTATATGACAGCAAAATAAAAAGCTACTCCCCAAGAAATCTGCTTTACCACTGATTGCTAGCTAATTATAACAACCGTTCCCTCTTTTTCCTGGGCAGTCAGTGTATTTTTCCCAGACGCCCTTGCAGCTGGGTGAGATCATATGATTGAGTCCCAGCCAATGGCATGTGAGTGAAGGTGATGAATACCACCTCCAGGCCTAGTCCATAAAACCTTCCCACCTGTCTCCTCTCCTGTGAACTTGGAAACTCATGTTGACATGGCAGAACCAGAAGATGGAAGGAATCTGGTCTCTGAATCATTGCTATCCATTTGGGAACTTACATACGCAGGAAATAAGCTTCTGTTGTGTTAAGGCACTGAGATGGGGGCAAGGGTGAAGTTTATCGGTCCTAGTTTTTAATGTGACCTAAACTTCTGGTTTCATCTCCCGCCTACCATCTATATGCTCCAGACACACACTTTCCTGCCCACAACTTTGCTCAAGCTGCTCCCTCTGTCTGAAATACTTTCTCAGATGTCCTTCCTTCAAGGATGCCTCAGATGCACCATCCATGACATTCCAAAATCTGTGTAACAGTCACTGGCTTGCAGGTCAGCCTTTCATAAAAGATTGTAGCTCTCTGAGTGCAAAGACTCATTTTATTTTAGATTCTCATTTGTCTCAGCAACCCTCAAGTTTGTCTAGCAGGGTGCCCAGGTATCAAATGTTCATTCAAATAAAATGGAGATATAAATGATCCGACTTCTGTTCTAACACCTCTAACCACAATTCTGTGAATATAAAGCATGATTAAAGGCAAACTCTTATTAATATATTATTAGTGGTTCCCATGGTCACACTTTGGGACTTGGCTTTAAGTCAGTGAGGGATGACACAAAGGTATCCTAGGGAGGAATCGGCTCACCAGGCTACTGCTGACCACAGTGCTCTTTGCTGGGAATGAACAGAGGAGAAGGAAGAAATGATGAGAAAAAGATGGTGGTAGTGATGGTGATGGTGGTGGTGGTGGTGGTGATGGTGGCATGTGTGTAAGAAGTGTTTGTGTTAAGAACAGAAGCACCATAAAACAGGGATTTTGTCTGTTTCATTCACTGTTTTCTCCCCAGTGACTAGTACATGGCAAATATGTGTTGCACAAAGAATGAGCATAGAGCTGAACTGCATGTGTTAGTGCATGTGTGGAGGGCATTTGGATGCAGACAGGCATGAATGTGAATGTGTGAATGATCACCAGGGGTGCAGGTGTGTGTGTGTGTGTGTGTGTGTGTGTGTTATAAGTGTTTTTTATCTCACCCATCATCACAATCATGGTGGTCTGTCATGGAGTGCCCCATGAGTGTCCATGTGCTTATGCCCCCGCAATGAGCAGGAGCCCACATCCAGGCTTGTCTGATACCTCTTTTCCTTATGAGAATACTTCAATCCCTTAGGGCATGCTCTGCAATTATGCTATGGTCTGAAGAGCATTAGTTCTGTGTATTGTGGCAGCTTTGCTGTGTGTCCTTAGGTAAGCCCCTTAATCTCTCTGAGCCCCCTTTCTTCTTTAGTTCAGTGGGGATACTCATGGCCATCTCTCAGTGCTGTTGTGTGGATGACCAGGAATAAATAAGATCAGAGTGTGGAAGTGCTTTGTGAAATGACCAGGCTCATGCAGATGGAAAGGATTATCCGACATTAGAAGGCTGTGAGGGAAGCTGACAGACAATCCTGGCTGAAGTGACAACTTGCTGAGTCCAGAGCCTTCTTATATCTCCCTATTGGCAGCTTTGGCCCCAGGACACAAGACATTAGGCCTCCCTGCCCTGGCAGCTCTGCGCTTCCACCTCTGGCCTGGTATTCTGTCCCAGCCTTTCCTGCTCCAGGAGGAATTATGTCTGGGGGCAGAGGCGGAAGTGGGAATCATTCCCTTCCCCCAAGCTGGGTCCCACCTCACCGCACAGGCCATGGCCTTGGGCCTTGCTGGCTTTGCTGGCCTCCATGATCATGAGTCCTGAGCTGTGGAGCCACTGGATCTGGATGTGTGAGGGAGTCAGGATCATGTACATGTGGCCTGTGTCCTCAATTCTGAACCCATATCTGCTCACGGGTGGCCACACAGGCTGTAAGTCCACAGTCACCTTGGGAGGGAATTCAGTGTGAGCACAGCTTGTCCATCCATCCATCCATCCATCCATCCATCCATCCATCCATCCATCCATGCATCTGTTCATCCATCCATCCACCCATCATCTGACAAAAATTTATTAGGCATTGCTATGTGCCAGGCTCTGTTTCAGGCACAGGCAGCCAAATCACAGTCCAAAGTGGCATGGGAGGATTCTAAAAATATTTTTATTGGAAAAATACAATGAAACAAGAAATGCAACAACAGGAGGCAAGCTGCATCTTAATGCCCAAATAAACACAAATCCTGAGCCCTTCCAATCACTCTCTTCTTTCCTGATTCTGTTCAGATCATTTCTTCTGGGAGATTCTCCCTAAATTCCCAGCCTTGGGGTTACATACCCCTACTCTGGGCTTTCCTCATCTCTGTGCTGACCATTAAGACAGAAATCTGTTTCCACATCAAGATCTCCAGTGAACTGAGTTTCTTAAGGGTAGATACTATGTCTGATTCACCTTTGAATCCCCAACACCTGCCTTTGGGCCTGACGTAAATTGGGGCTCACTCAATATTTGTTAAACATGCAACACATTCTAATTCTCACAAACACTTTAAATTCAAGGCTACAACCTCTTCTGCATATGAAGAAGGTTAAATTTGGATGTACCATAGGTTATTATAATAGTTTTACACAGAAAAAAAATGGGATATAAGATTAAGATTTTAAAGTATTTATAATGAATTAATCTCCTCCCTTCAAGAATAGACTGTTTTATATGCTCCTGAATGTCATGGGGGTCAATAAAGAAATTATGAAAAAAACTGAAACATTTCTTGAAACAAACGATAATGGAAACACAACATACCAAAACCTACAGGATACAGCAAAAGCAGTACTAAGAGGGAACTTTATAGCGATTAGTGTCTATATTAAAAAAGAAGAAAAACTTCAAATAAATAATGTAACAGTGTATCTTAAAGAACTAAAAAAGCAAAAGCAAACCAAATCCAAAATTAGTAGAAGAAAAGAAATAATAAAGATCAGAACAGAAATAAATTTGAAATGAAAAAAATACAAAAGATCAATGAAACTAAAAGTTTGTTTGAAAAGATAAACAAAATTGACAAACCTTTAGCCTACTAAGAAAAAAGAAAGAAGACTCTAATAAAACCAGAGATGAAAAAGGAGGCATCACAACTGATACTACAGAAATTCAAAGGATCATTAGCAACTACTACAAGCAGCTATATGCCAGTAGAAGAGAAAATCTAGAGGAAATGGATAAATTTCTAGACACATACAACCTACCAAGATTGAACCACAAAGAAATACAAAATCTGAAAACGCTAATAACAAGTAATGAGATAGAAGCTGTAATAAAAAGTCTCCCAGTAAAAAAAAGCCTGGGATCCGATGGCTTCACTGCTGACTTCTACCAAACAATTGAAGAAGAGCTAATACCAATCCTACTCACACTATTCTGAAAAACAGAGGAGGAGGGAATACTTCCAAACTCATTCTATGAGGCCAGTGTTACCCTGATACAAAAACCAGACCAGCACATATCAAAAAAAGACTACAAGTCATTATTTCTGATAAATATTGATGCAAAAATCCTCAAAAAAAATACTAGCAAGATGAATTCAACAATATATTAAAAAGATCATTAGTTGCGACCAAGTGGGATTCAACATATGCAAATCAATGAAAGTGATACATCATATCAACAGAATAAAGGACAAAAAAACCATATGATCATTTCAAATGATGCTGAAACTTCATAATAAAAATCCTAAAAAAAAAAAAAAAAACTGAGCATAAAAGGAACATACCTCAACATAATAAAAGCCATATATGACAGAACCACAGCTAGTATCATATTGAATGGGGGAAAATGAAAAGCCTTTCCTCTAAGATCTGGAACACGACAAAGATGCCCACTTTCACCACTGTTATTCAACATAGTATTAGAAGTCCTACCTAGAGCAATCAGACAAGGGAAAGAAATAAAGGGCATCAAAATTTGAATGGAAGAAGTCAAATTATCCTGTTTGCAGATGACATAATCTTATATTTGGAAAAAAGCTAAAGATTCCACCAAAAACCTATTAGAACTGATTTTAAAATTCAGTAAGTTTCAGATTACAAAATCAACATACAAAAATCAGTAACATTTCTGTATGCCAACAGTGAACAATCTGAAAAATAAATCAAAAAATAATCCCATTTACAATAGCCACAAGAAAAATTAAATTATCTAAGAATTAACTTAACCGAAGAAGTGAAAGAGCTTTACAATGAAAATGATAAAACACTGCTGAAAGAAATTGAATAAGTCACAAATGGAAAGATAGTCCATGCTCATGGATTAGAAGAATCAATGTTGTTAAAATGTCCATATTACCCAAAGCAACCTACAGATTCAATGCAATCCCTATGGAAATATTAATGACATTCTTCACAGAAATAGAAAAAACAACCCTAAAATATACATGGAACCATAAAAGACCCAGAATAACCAAAGCTATTCTGAGCAAAAAGAACAAAACTAGAAGAATCACATTACCTGACTTCAAATTATACTACAGAGCTATAGTAACCAAAGCAGTATGGTACTGGCATAAAAATAGGCATATAGGCTGGGTGCAGTGGCTCATGCCTGTAATCCCAGCACTTTAGGAGGCCAAGGTGGGCAGATCACCTGAGGTCAGGAGTTTGAGACCAGCCTGGCCAACATGGTGAAACCCTGTCTCTTCTAAAAATACAAAAATTAGCCAGGTGTGATGGTGCATACCTGTAACCCCAGCTACTTGGCAGGCTGAGGCAGGAGAATCACCTGAACCTGGGAGACAGACGTAGCAGTGAGCCAAGATCTGCAGCCTGGGAGACAGAGTAAGACTCTGTCTGAAAAACAAAAACAAACAAAGAAACAGACATATAGACTAATGGAACAGAATAGAGAACCCAGAAACAAATTCACACAACTTCAGTGAACTCATTTTTGACAAAAGTGCTAAGAACATACATTGGGGAAAAGACAGTCTCTTCAATAAATGGTGCTGGGGAAACTGGTATCTGTATGCAGAAGAATGAAACTAGACCCCTATCTCTCACCATATACAAAAATCAAATCAAAATGGATTAAAGACTTAAATCTAAAACCTCAAACTATAAAACCACTACAAGAAAACATTGGGGAAACTCTCCAGGACTTTGGTTTGGGCAAAAATTTCTTGAATAATACCCCACAAGCACAGGCAACCAAAGCAAAATGGACAAATGGGATCACATCAAGTTAAAAAGCTTCTGCACAGCAAAGAACACAATCAACAAAGTGAAGAGACAACCCATAGAATGGGAGAAAATATTAGCAAACTATCCATCTGATGAGGGATTAATAATTAGAATATGTAAGGCGCTCAAACAACTCTATAGGAAAAAATCCTGATTTAAAAATGTGCAAAAAATTTGAAATAGACATTTCTCAAAAGAAGATATAATTGATGAACATCGATGCAAAAATCCTCAATAAAATATTGGCAAACTGGATCCAGCAGCATATCAAAATCTTATCCACTACGATCAAGGAGGCTTTATCTCTAGGAGGCAATAGGAGGAGTTCAACATATACAAATCAATAAATGTGATTCATCACATAAACAGAACTAAAGACAAAAACCAATGATTATCTCAATAGGTGCAGAAAAGGCTTTTGGTAAAACTCAACACCCCTTCAGATTTAAAACTCTCAACAAACTATGTATTAAAGGAACATATCTCAAAATAATAAGAGCCATCTATGACAAACCCACAGCCAACATCACACTGAATGGACAAAACCTGGAAGCATTCCCCCTGAAAACTGGCACAAGACAAGGATACCCACTCTCACCACTCCTATTCAACACAGTATTGGAAGTCCTGGCCAGAGCAATCAGGCAAGAGAAAGAAATAAAGGACCTCCAAACAGGGAGAGAGGAAGTCAAACTATCTGTTTGCAGGTAACATGATCTTATATCTAGAAAACCCCATAGTTCTAGCCCAGAAGCTCCTTCAGCTGACAAACAACTTAGCAAACTCTCAAGGTACAAAATAAATGTATAGAAATCACTAGTATTCCTATACACCAACAATAGCCAAGCTGAGAGCCAAATCAGGAAAGCAATCCCATTCACAATTGCCACAAAAATGTACAATACCTAGGAATACAGCTAACCAGGGAGGTGAAAGATCTTTACAAGGAGAACTACAAAACACTGTTCAAAGAAATCAGAGGTAACACAAACAAACAGAAAAACATTCCATGCTCATTGATAGGGAGAATCAATATTGTTAAAATGGCCATACTGCCCAAAGCAATTTACACATTCAATGCTCTTCCTATCAAACTACCGATGACATTCTTCACAGAACTAGAAAAAAAAACTATTCTAAAATTCATACATAACCAAAACTGAGCCCGAATAGCCAAGACAATCCTAAACAAAAAGAACAAAGCTGGAGGCATCATGCTACTCACTTCAAACTATACTTCATGGCTCCAGTAACTAAAACAGCATAGCACTGGTACAAAAACAGATACATAGACCAGTGGAACAGAATACAGAGCCCAGAAATAAGGCCACATACCTACAACTGTCTGATCTTCTACAAAGTCACCCAAAACAAGCAATAGGGAAAGTAATCTCTATTCAATAAATGGTACTGGGATAAATGGCTAGCCATATGCAGAAGATTGAAATGAGACCCCTTCCTTACACCATATACAAAAATTAACTTAAGATAGATTAAAGACTTAAATGTAAAAGCCAAAACCAAAAACCATGGAAGATAACTTAGGCAATACCATTCTGGACACAGAAACGGCAAAGATTTCATGGCAACGATGCCAAAAGAAATTGCAACAAAAGCAAAAATTGACAAATGGGATCTAATTAAACTAAAGAGCTTCTGCACAGCAAAAGAAACTATCAACAGAGTAAGCAGACAACCTACAGAATGGGAAAAATTTT